TCCCCGGCGTGGGTGCGTTGGTGGCGGTTGAGGTGGGAGCTACGGCTGAAGCACTTGCCGCACTCGGGACACTTGTAGGGCTTCTCGCCGGTGTGGACACGTTGGTGGATGGTGAGCTCGGAGCGTTGGATGAAGCTCTTGCCGCACTCGGGGCACTGGTAGGGCTTCTCGCCGAGGTGGGTGCGTTGATGGGTGATGAGGTTGGAGGAGACGCTGAAGCATTTACCGCACTCACCGCACCGGTAAGGTTTCTCCCCGGGGGGCATCCGGCGATGGATGGTGAGGTCCGACTTCTGGATGAAACCCTTCCCGCAATCCCCGCAGGCGTAGGGTTTCTCTCCTGTGTGGATACGCCGGTGTTTAACCAGCGCCGAACGCTGCCCAAAACCCTTCCCGCATTCCCCGCACTTATAGGGTTTCTCCGGCGGTAACGCCGGAAAGAGACAGCGGGGGCGGTTTCCCCCTTCGCCGGTATCCGATTCCCTCCCGCAATCCATACATTGCTGACCGCGGGGACGTAACCCCACCGTGCCGCCCCGGTTCTTCCCGCAATCCGGGCACTTGGGGGGCTGCCCCGCCGTTCCCCCGGCGCCGTGGGCACGTTGATGCTTGAGCAAGGCGGCGCCTTGACCGAAACATCGCCCGCATTGGGCGCATTGGAAGAGGCGACCGTGACGGTGAGCGGCCAAGAAGCCGGCTAGATGTTCGGGGCAACGGTAGGACGCCCGTTCGGCTGCGTGGATCTTCTGGTGCCGGTCGAGGTGGGAGCTGACGCTGAAGCTCTTACCGCATTCGGCACAGGTATAGGGTCGTTCACCGGTGTGTACCCGTTGATGCCGTTCCAGATCGGAGCGTTGGATGAAACCTTTGCCGCAATCGCCGCAAGCAAATGGCCGTTCGCCGGTATGGATGCGCCGGTGTTGGGTGAGGTTGGAGCCTCGGCTGAAGCTCTTACCGCAATCGCCGCAGCGGTGAGGCCGCTCGCTGCTGTGGGTCTTGCGGTGTTTGGCCAAGGCGGAGCGTTGGGCGAAGCTCTTGCCGCATTCGGGGCAACGGTGAGGAGCCGGTGACCCCTCCGGCGGAGGCGGTCGAGGACGGGCGCGGGGTTGGGCGGGGGGACCGGGTCCACCGGCGTGGGTACGGCGATGCCGGTCGAGGTGGGAGCTGACGCTGAACCGTTTGCCGCAGTCACCGCAAGGATACGGCCGTTCGCCGGTGTGCACCCGCCGGTGCCGCTCGAGGTCGGAGCGTTGGATGAAGCCTTTGCCGCAATCACCGCAACGGTGAGGTCGTTCGCCAGTGTGGATACGCCGGTGCTGGGCAAGGTTAGACCCTCGGCTGAAGCCTTTGCCGCAGTCACCGCACCGGTGCGGCTTCTCCCCACCGCGTTCTTGCTGCCGGGCTGATTGCCGACACCGCCGCCCGCACTCGGAGCACCGCCGCGGCTTTACCGGACTCTGCGACCGGTTCCGCATCCCGCATTCGGCACAACCACCCCGGGATGCCGGCGATGCCGCGCCGCCCTTCTTGCCCCCGTTCCCCTTACCGGCGACGGGGGGGT